GTACATGACCATCAGCAGACTCGCCTCAAGCTCGAGCGCATCGCCAGGTCGAAGGATATCAGGACAGTCGACCACACCGTGCAGGACAGGCCGAGGCGCGGCAAACAGCTGACGGCAAGTTAGTCTTGGTGGCTCTCTTAAGCGAAACTGGCATAATGCAAAACCACCGGGATTGCATAGGTTTCAACTGATGTCGCCATGTCCGCAGCGCCGACTCAATTCGTCAATCTATCTGGACCGGTAGCCGCAGCATCGCTGAGTGTCCCAAAGCCATGGCTCCTAAGCGCATGCCTCTGAAGACTCCGAGGCTTCGGCTGCGACGGCAAGCAGCATCTAGAGGCTCTTTCGCGAAAGAGCAGTGCCCAGGACGCTCCGAAGTGGAGGCTTGCAGATTCAGCACGGTGGAAGCCGGGCAGAAGGCTAGAATCCAGCCTGCGCGTGGACATCACAAGTGTTGTTTCTGCGCAGCCGGAGTCCTTGAACAGCATCTGCGAACAGCCCGCGGAAAAGGTGCGGTGACCTCGGCTTTGTGCTTCTTCAAAGAGCACGACCAGCAGATCTACGAAGATGCATGTGGCAGGATCAGAGCTTTTGCTGGAGAGGAAGTGCTTCGTCCATGCTTGGCAAGGCTTTCGCGGTTGCAAAAGAAAGGAAGCACCAAGGCTGCGCGTGCCCGGAATGCACGACAGAAGCGCGAGCAGCGCGAAAATGCAGCAAGGGTGTCTCGAAGTGACCAGTGGCGGTCGCTTCTGGAGCACCGTGCAGTGCAGTGCCAGGCCAGTGATGCTGACCACGCGGAGTACCGGCGTGCAGTGGCGGCATCGCACCGCAAGCTAGCGGGCAAGTTCCCGTCCATCTATCCGGAAGGAGAAGAGGCTCCCACCGCAGAGTGGCGAGGCGCCTTGGCAGAAGGCTTCCGAAAGTGGGCACGTTTCTGCTCCTGGACCATGTGCTCGGATTGCCACCGCATGCAGCCTCAGAAGTTATGGCCCACGCACGTTCGGCAGCCGGACAAACCGACGCCGCCGCCTAGCAAGTGCAAATACTGCAAGAAAGGCATCGGATACTGGGCACCAACACCCGAGGAGGTACCCGAGCCGTTGCGCAACCTGCCCAGTTCCGCGGTCGAAGCACTCAGCATCTTCGACATCTACACAGGACCTGCGGAGCGAGCCCATGGAGGCTATTGGGTACACACAGCCCCGATTCGCTTTAGCTGGAAAGCCGACTCCGTGGAAGACCGGCTGACAAGGCTGCCAAAGCGTGCTTGGAAGAAGGCTCGAAAGGCATATCGCTATCTGATTGACGACAGTTCGGGCAGCGCCTACAACCAGTTCCTGGCTTCCCACGCTTCATTCCTGCGGCGGCGGCAGCGCGACATCGAGAACGGGGACGTGGAGGTTTTCGACCCGATCCCGTGGCTGCCTATGAACTTCATGGAAACCGTCGGTCTCGAGTGTGCTGTGTGGCCGCATCTCTATTGGTGCACAGACATGTGTGAAACGCACGTCCGCAGTCAAGACTCGCGGCGGCTGGCCCGACATGCGCCGCAGCCGACAATGAGAGGCGACAGCTCCGACGAGGCCGAGTGGGAGGAGGAAGAGAGCCAGTCGGGGCGCCAAAGCTTCAAGGCCAGCTTTCTCGCCAAAGTCTTCTCCTCTGTGATCGGCTTCGGCGCGGACTGGAGGCTGGCCCAGTTCGTCTACGATTTGTGGCTTTGGAGTAGCCTTGGTGGGGCGAAACATTGTGGCGGCGTCTCCCTGCGTGGTGCACTGGCCGGGAAGAACTTCTCGCCGGCTTATTGGCAGAACATGCACGCCGCGCTTGTGGATGTCGTCAAGCAGATCGGCTTCCCTTCCCTCTTCATCACGGTGGCGCCTTGGGAGCCATCGGCTCCGTACCATGTGTGGCTGGAGGACGAGTTGGGCAAGATGCTACGCACCCGCACCAACCTCCCAGCCGCCGAGACCTTTCACCTGGCGCATCTCCTCACCCAGGTTGCCGAGGGCCTTATCGCAGGGACGAACAAGCGAAGTCTCAAAGAAAGGCACCGCTGTTGGAGAGAGCACGTCCTGGCAGCCTCCGATGGGGAAACCGACACAGTGGTGGAGATCTTCGGTCGCCTCGAGTTCCAGGACGGGAAGCGAAAGCGCTACGCCGGGCCAGCACAAAGCTACCACGGTTCTGGCCGAACTCATCTGCATCTGTTGGTTTGGTTGAAGAACATGTCCGCGCTGGATTGGCCACGCGCCTTGAGAGCAGATTTGGCGGAAGACGAGCCGGAGATGAGAGACTTGGTCGCGGGCTCGCAATTAGACTACGACAGCAGCGCCTGGCCGCTGCACGAAGGCCCGACCACTTTCGATTCGTCGAATGGGCGCATCTCGCTACATCACCCACGACAAGCCAAGGCAGCGCACGTGAGGGCTTTCCTGCCAGATGTCATTGCGGCAATGCAGTGCCACATGGACGTGCAGACCGGAGACGGGCGAGCCTTGCTTCTGCAGTACGTCGCAAGCTACGCAGCCAAGTTCAGCGACTCCTTCGCAACCTCCTGGTTGAACGACGAAGCCTCTGCGTACCACTTGGCCCGGAGGATTTTGACGGAGTACCACCCCTTGGAGCCGGAGATGTGGCTGCAATTAGGCGCACAGTTCTTCCGCCAAGTGATCGCAACTCCAGTCATGCGGCGCGTGAGCGTGCGATGTCCTTGGACTAGCCAAGTTGGCGCTTGGGAGACAGCGTACATGGAATGCACATGGCGAGATGAAGACTGCACGCTGCTACAGTACATCCGCATGTCCAACAAGGATGGTAGGCAGCGTTCCACGCAGCGTGGGGGCGGTCGCCGTCGAGTTGCTGTCGCAGCTCAGATGAACAGCCGGCTGAAGGATTCCTTTTATGGACAGTGGCTGGTTCTCAACGTGCCCTTCCGAGACATTGATGATCTTTGGGACGACCGCGTGCTCCGAGTGCCAGAAGGCTACCGCATGCTCGCTCTCTGTCTTCTCCGCCGCCCCGGCCTTTGGCGCCGACCGCAGGAAGTGGAGCAAGAACTGCAGTTGGAAGGTTATCGCGATGCGCATGTTTGCAATATCCTGGCCATGTTGGAAGGTCACACAGCCGTGATCGATGCCTACCTTTCGGGCCGCTTGGATTTGCAGCATGATCCGCAACCCGATCCTGGCGCCTTCGCAGCACCGGAGCTTGGGTTTCGCGGGGCTCTGGACCCCGAACAAGCCATCATCGTCGAGAACATCCGGGTGATGGTTCGCATTTCGATGCAGAGGCGGTATCCCGACGATGCCACGGTAGAGGACGTGCAAGCCTTGATGATTGACCGGCGGCCGGAAAGGGGACCGCAACGCCCTCTCTGCATCCTTGGGCCAGCGGGCAGTGGCAAATCCACATGTGTCGAGGTGGCGATCCAGCGTGCTGCAGAGGCTGGTGCGCACGTCGGAGTGGCGTGCCCAACCGGCGTGCTGGCCAGCAGCTACAGGGAGAAATTCCCCGACCTCGATGTCGATACCGTCCATGGTATGTTCCTACTCCACAAGCCCGAGCACGAAACTTGGGACTCGATGATGCCTTTCGATGTGGCGGTCATCGACGAGGTCGGGCAGCTTTCCGAGGAGCATTTCGAGCGGCTGCTGCGACTCTGGGACCACACCGAGAGGCGGACGGTCTTGGTGTTCGTGGGAGACTTCCACCAGCTGCGGGGAATAGGTAACACTCGCGCGACAGGCAGTCGCCGCTGGCAACAGGTCGTGGTGAAACATCTTCGGACCATGCGGCGCTGCCAGTGTGCGGAACTGCGCTGGAAGCTGCAACTGCTGCGCACCGCCAAACCTTCTAGAGAGCAGCTGAAGGATCTGGTGCGTGGGCATCGCGCCATGCCGGACAGAGGGCCCGGGGTATCGCCTGCACCTACCTCCCTAGACATGCAAGGAATGCTTGCCGAAACACCGAACACCACTTTCGTCACCATCACGCGGCGTAATGCTGCCTTGCTGAACGACTTGGCGATCGAGGCACTGTTCGGGGAGGCCGAACCCGTCTGCACAGTTCCGGGAGACCCAGAAAGCAACACTGACAATTACGGCACAGGGGGGAGATTGGTCGATTGTCAACCTGCCCAAGTTCCGATCTACATCGGTGCCCGAGTTACCTTGACTCGAAATGTCAACAAGGAGCTGCATTTCGTGAACGGCATGACGGCCGAGGTGGTGGACGTCCGCCATCGGTGTGTGGTGGTGCGCACTCGGGTTGGCAACATAGTCACGGTCTTTCCCTACACCGATGACGAGCTTGTGGTCAATGGCGAGCCCTGCAGAGTAACCTATCTACCCCTCCGACTGGGATACGCAGTCACGTTACAGAAAGTGCAAGGAGCCACGCTGGATCATGTGACCATCTGGCTGGATGTCCCAAATGTGGAAGCTGCAGGCTACGTCGCCCTCTCTCGTGTCCGGAAGGATGTCGATTGGCGATTCATCGGGCATGTGACGCCGCATCATTTCACTCCTGCCAAGGACGTTTAGGAACAAAAATACCGGCTGCCCTCAGTTGAGCTTGTACAGGTACCTTGACAGCTGCGGCAATACCGGATAAACTGGACAGGTTGCCCAGGGCTACATGCACCGAGCCAGCCGGACAGAGACAGGGCGAGCCGTAAAAAAATGCGAGCTGCATGAAAAGCACGAAGCGTGTTGGCACGCAGAATTTATAGCAGTGCCGGCAGCAGAAACTGAATTGCATATTTCCCCGCGATGCAGGCAAGACTGCTTCGGCTTCATAAATTTCGAAATGAAGGTCCTGGTCGTCCGCCTCTCAGTTTTTTTTTGCATGTTCCTGCTGCGCTTCTTGTTTCGCGTGTCTCCTATGCTTCTTCAGCGCCTCTTGCTGGAATCGTCTGCTGATTCTGTCTAACTTGCTCCTGCTGTATGTTGTCCTTGCCGGTCAACGCCCGTTCAGCTTCGCAGATCAAGAAAAATCTTGCACCAAAGATGCGGATATGTTGAAATGAGTGTGGGCCCTAAACCCTAAAAGGAATAGGGTTGGGTGGTTGTGCCGCCTCATGAACGGCGCGGGGTGGGAAGAAAAGATCGGGCCGCCACAAGCCGGCCGAAGAGCAGCCTTCGCTGCAAGCACGCCGTCCACCGCAAGATCCACACAAGCACTGACGGCTCACCCGTCCCCGGAATTTCAACAACTTCCGTGAATAAGCGCGAAACCCTAAACCCTAAACCCTAAACCCTAAACTGAAGGCCGACCCCCCACCGCAGCGAATGGGGTCGGCCGCAGCAGGCGGACCGGAAGGCGCCTGCCGGACCGTAGGCGATGGCTGAAAAGCAAGCCGTAGGTCCTGGACCTCAGGTCCACGCGGCTCCAGTGAATAGGCCGCTCCTGTCAGCCTATATAATAATAACCCTAAACCTCAGTGCAAACCGGCCGGGCACACCTGGATTCCTCCTTTCTGGGCCCCGGTAAACCTTGGTGCAAATGGGCGCGGACCCCTGGATTCCTCCTTGCTGCCTTTGAAGAGCCTTAAATTAAACACCCGGAACCGAGGATTAAGGACTTGACAAGAAATTAAGGACTCGAGCTTGAATTAAGTACAGGAGCTTGAATTTCAGGATTTGGACTTAAAATTAAGGACCCGAAGCTCCAGATTAAGAACCTGGAGCTTTCAATGCAAGGGTTTTTGAAAACACTGGTCCTTCTTCAGCCTCAAAACTGCAAGGCTTTTTGTGCCTTTGGGGTTCCGCGCACCCTCCGCCACCGGATGCAGTACGAAGGCCTGTGAGCCATTTCGCCTGCAGGCCAACAAAAAAAGATGTTCTTCAGCTGACAACCAGCCACAAAACAGCCTCCTGGGGCAAGCTTTGCGAGCCATTTCGCCTGGAGGCCAACAAAAAAAGATGTTCTTCAGCTGACAATTAGCCAGAAACAGCCTCCTGGGGCAAGCCTTGCGAGCCATTTCGCCTGGAGGCCAACAAAAAAAGATTTTCTTCAGCTGACAACCAGCCACAAAACGGCCTTCTGGTGCAAGCTTTGTGAGCCATGTCGCCTGCAGGCCAACCAAAAAGGATTTTCTTCAGCTGACAACCAGCCACAAACAGCCTCCTGGGGCAAGCTTTGTGAGCCATTTCGCCTGGAGGCCACTAAAAAAAGATTTTCTTCAGCTGACAACCAGCCACAAACAGCCTCCTGGGGCAAGCACAGAGCCACCAAGATCCGGAAGTACGATTTGTTGCGGATAAGAGTGGGCCACACAGAGCCACCAAGACCCGCAAGTACGATTTGTTACGGATAAGAGTGGGCCACACAGAGCCACCAAGACCCGGAAGTACGATTTGTTACGGATAAGAGTGGGCCACATAGAGCCACCAAGACCCGCAAGTACGATTTGTTACGGCCAAGAGTGGGCCAGAAAGAGCCACCAAGACCCGGAAGTACGATTTGTTACGGCCAAGAGTTGGCCATAAGAGCCCACCAGACCCGGCAGTACGATTTGTTACGGCCAAAAGTTGGGCCAGAAAGAGCCCCAGACCCGGCAGTACGATTTGTTACGGACATTTTGTACAGAACGAGCCCCACCAGACCCCTGGCAGTACGATTTGTTACGGCCAGAGTGTCACAAGAGCCACCAAACCGCCGTACGATTTGCTACGGCCAAGAGTGGGCCAGAAAGAGCCACCAAGACCCGGCAGTACGATTTGTTGCGGCCAAGAGTGGGCCAGAAAGAGCCACCAAGACCCGGCAGTACGATTTGTTACGGCCAAGAGTGGGTCAGAAAGAGCCACCAAGACCCGGCAGTACGATTTGTTACGGCCAAGAGTGGGCCAGAAAGAGCCACCAGGACCCGGCAGTACGATTTGTTACCGCCAAGAGTGGGCCAGAAAGAGCCACCAAGACCCGGCAGTACGATTTGTTACGGCCAAGAGTGGGCCAGAAAGAGCCAACCAAACCCCGGCAGTACGATTTGTTAAGGACAAGAGTGGGACAGAAAGAGCCACCAAGAACCGAACCCTCAAGAGCAGGATAAATAGAAATTGTATTTGCCACACCGTTGGGAAGCACCAAGATGCCAGCAAACAGTGCAGAACAAAAACACCCCATTTTGTTAACCCTTGTTGTCGTGCTCAACCTCCTTAAAACAAGAAGTCAAGAACCAGTGCAGAAAAAAAGCCCCATTTTGTTAGTCCTAGTTGTCGTGCTCAACATCCTTAAAACAAGAAGCCAAGAACCAGAGCACAAAAAAACACACCCCATTTTGTTAACCCTGGTTGTCGTGCTCAACATCCTTAAAACAAGAAGTCAAGAACCAGTGCAGAAAAAAAGCCCCATTTTGTTAGTCCTAGTTGTCGTGCTCAACACCCTTAAAACAAGAAGCCAAGAACCAGAGCAGAAAAAAACACACCCCATTTTGTTAACCCTGGTTGTCGTGCTCAACATCCTTAAACCAAGAAGCCAAGAACCAGTGCAGAAAAAAAGCCCCATTTTGTTAGTCCTAGTTGTCGTGCCACCTGCTGACAATCTGCTCCCCTCGGGATTGCCACCTACCGACAATCCAAGGAAGCATAGGGCCAAAGTGAAGTGTGACAGCCATCCGCCCCCTTTCCACCAAGCTCCACCCAGATTGCCACCAGCTGACAATCTGAAGCCCTGAAGATTGCCACCTGCTGACAATCCAAAGGGGCAACCGGCCAGCAAGGGAGTGTGACAGCCATCCGCCCCCTTTCCACCACCCCCCACCAGGATTGCCACCTCTTGGCAATCTGTCCCCCCTTAGATTGCCACCTGTTGCAATCTGTACCCCCCCTAAGATTTGCACCTGCTGACCATCTAGATCCCCTGTGGAGTTGCCACTTGTGGCCAATCTTACCCCCTTAAGATTGCCACCTGTTGCAAATCGGACCCCCCCTAAGATTGGCCCCCCTCTGACATCTAGATCCCCTGTGATGGCCACCTGTTTGCACTCTGTACCCCCCTACTATTGCCGCCTTCTGACATCAGAACCCCCTAAGATGCCTACCCTTTGGGCGGAGATTGCACTCGGCCTGGCGATTGTCACTTTGGGCCTGAGATGTCACCTGGGCCGTGGCGATGTCACTTTGGGGCCTGGAGATTGTCACTCGGGGCCTGGCGATTGTCACTTTGGGGCCTGGAGATTGTCACCTGGGGCCTGGCGATTGTCACTTTGGGGCCGGGAGATTGTCACTTTGGGGCCTGGAGATTGTCACTTTGGCGTTGTGGGTGGCCTGGTTGCAAGTTTTTGCAGGTTTTGAGAGGTTTTTAAAGGCTCAGAGTGGTTTTAAAACGTTCTAAGTGGCTTCCGAAGTTATTTCAAAGGGCTTTAAGCAGTCTTGAAGCCGGGCAAACTTGACACCCACCGTCAATCTACGACCGCCCGGGGACCAGGATTTCCCCGACCCGCGCGCGTACACACAATGCGCTTTTGGACCCTCCGCTCGCACCCCAAGGGGGGCATGCCAGGTGTCTTTTGGAAGCTAGTAATGGCGTTGAACTACAGCGACTGCTGTACGCGCCAGTTCACTAGCGGAGCGGCCTCCAAATACCTAAAAAGAGCCGAGGTGCCTTCCTTGAGCATTCCAAAAGTAGGCCGCGGGCATACTTTTGGGATGTGTGCCACGGACGCGCTTTGCGCGAGGATCGGTTTGTTTTCCTCAGTGCCAAGGGCCAAGGGGCTTCCCATTGAGCCTGTCAACGGGAACGCGTGTACTCGCTCGCGGGTGCGCGTTACTACCGGGGATCCGATCTATCTCCAATCGGTGAACACATACGGGCGAAGGATGTTTCAATCCGACCAGAAACATCGGGGAAGCAGGGAGCGTGTGCTGCGGGACATTCTCTTATAAGGCACCTAAAATAAGGCCATCCCAGTACTAAGTACGCTGGGGGGTGCCTTCTAAGACCTTCACACTCTCATACTTCCCACGCATGCATTCACTGAACATGTCCAAGCCAAGGACTGATTTTTGGTGCAAGCGACTCGGCTGCAATTAAACACGTGCATGGCCACGGCCATCATCAACATATATGTTAACTCAACATGTGCTCGCCCAGGCATTGCTCTGGTGGTCGCAACTCGGCTGCAATCAAACATGTCCACGTCTAGAGCGTGCTTGCGTCATGCTTGCGTCATGCTTGCATCAATTCCGCTCCGAAGCCACGCGCGGTCAGATGAGCGAGAGCGCGCCTCCCGACTGCATCTAAATTAGACGCAAACCTCGAGGCCGCCCCAGCCTTTCAGGGCAGGTTGTTCAATGGTTAGTCTGGCAAATGGGCCTCGCTATTGGGCTTTTGGAGAAAACTCTTTGATAATTGTTTCGCTTATTGGGGCAGTTAGGAAGGACAACCTCGTGCGAATTGTATCGCTATTGGTGCGCTAGTAAAGAAGAATCTCTCCGGCGGGCCAAGAATTGCTGCTGCTTATTGGGGGGGTGGCCACTGGGGGTAAGCTTTTGAAATGACACAACTCTTGCAGATTGTTTCGCTATTGGGGCATGAGGAACAA